GTCGTAATAGTTATATTTTTTAATAGAGGGGAAAGTGTTAACCTTAGGAATCATATAGGCAGTCAGGAATCATAAGTTCAATCCAAGAAGGGGAAGATGAGTACTGTTTCTTGGATTAAAAATCCCTCTCATAATACACCTCATATGAAGAGTAGTAGCTACTGCTGCAAAAAAAAATTAATTTAATTTTTATGTAAAATATCCATGCGCATTTGACGGTATAATATGCTTTTGTTTCATTCACTTCAAGTCACCATTATGGCCAGAGATAGCACAGGATAGAGTATGCCTTCTGTGATACGTACTACTTTATTGACATTTCTCTAGGCAAGAGAGCGCTCAAGGTATCTGGATTATAATTATTCCATCTATATGGACAGTAAGTTCTCCCTCTCTCTCTCTCTCTCTCTCTCTCTCTCTCTCTCTCTCTCTCTCGTTAATTCCCAGCTACACACAATACTAATGGGACAAATGTTGACTATGCACCGTCGTACAAACACACACCAAGACACATATCACAATGTTGACATACGTTCACAGACACTTAATTCAGTTCTTTTAATTAATTCTTGTTGTCTGAAACGTTTAAATATTTACGACGTGATATTCGGCCATTTTCTTGGCCATGGTCGTATGCATAGTTGCATTTTTACATGTCCAGTTATTTGCTCTTTTTATATAGTTTTTAAAGTCGTTATATAAACGTATATGGGATGCAGCGAGTGCATAGTACTATCAAGATTTCTAGCACATCATCATCTCAACAACCTGTCGAACGGTGTGTCTCAATGCATTTAAGATGCTCTTGATTAAAGGATTTAGAGCCTCATTACACTACCTTCTACCAAACTTGATAACTTCTTGTTCCGCAAGCGGTAAATGATATAAACAATAATAATAATAATAATAATAATAATAATAATAATATATAATATATAATAATAATAATAATAATAATAATAATATAATAATAATAATAATAATAATAAAATAATAATGATAATAATAATAATAATAATAATAATAATAATAATAATAATAATAATAATAATAATAATAATACTAATAGCGTGCTCCAGCATCCACCATCACACACGGAACTAGCATCATAATATTTACCTTTTGGCCACCGTCTCCAGTGGCCTCTTTGGTCGCAGGAACCCGAGGCTTGTAAAAAAAATATTTTTATGTAAAGTGCTGAACTCCCCTAGGTCATTCGGTACAAGGAATTTCTGATGCTGGATCATCCACTAATAATAATACTGATGTGCCATTCTAGCGCCACCTATGTTCATATTTTGAACCATGGCTTTTTTTTTTCTATGCTTGTGCCAGTGACATACCTGTGACAGGTATCGAGAATTTTTTGTTTCCTTCGTGCAGGCAGGTACTCAAACCTTCCTGATGTTCGCATGATTAGTTTCTCTACTTATACTTAAAGCAGGTTGGCATATTTGTATTTTAATTTGCACCACCTTGTTGGCTTCGAAAGCTTCAGAGGTCATTAATCTCCAGAAGCCTGCTCAACATTTTAGCTTATCGAGCTTTAAATTTTTTACCTCTTGCATGTGTCACGTGAGACATCTTGATGGAGTGGCCGGGGTTTAATTAAGTATTAAAAACCTGCTCAATATCCTAAATATCTCAGATCAGCCTTGCCTGACGAGATGTCAGCACAGTAGCACTTAACTCATCCGGGTACACGAGGGGGGTCTTAATTCCGGGATGACTGTCGTCACTTCATGTTAAGATTTTTCCAGTAATGAAATGTTCTCCTGAAGGTGTGGTCTCCTTGATTCTGAGGATGGTGTCACCATGGTCCTGGAGGTGTGGTCTCCACTTAGGGTTCCTAAATGTGATCTACAGGTGTAATCTCATTGTTTCTGTAGGTGTGATCTCGATGCTTCTGTAGATGTGACCTCCATACTTTCGAAGGTGTGATGTCCATGCTTTTGTAAGTGTGACGTTCATAATTTTGAATGTGTGGTCTCCATGTTTCTGTAAACCTGATGCTAGCCAGACGAACCCAATACTGTTGTTAGGTATGACTTTTGTATGAAAAAAATCGTCACTTGCCTTTTCTCTTGGTTGTGCTGTTAACTAGGATGACAGCTTGTGCCTAACCAATTATCCATCCGATTAGCTAAGGTGTGCTGACGAGGTTTCACACGCTGGTTGAAGCCACGTTATGTGGACAGGGTTTGCTACGGTAGTTGCAGCTGGTGTGAAGTGGATGAAACGGGCTGGAGAAGTGGTAATGGGGGAGAGGAACCCTACCTGAGGTAGCACTCACATGGACTCTGAGAGAGGAGTAGTGGTTTATTCGTCGGAAAACTGCAAAGTGTCCCCTGACATGGGTCTTAATCAGATGTAGACCCGTTCAATGGTTAAGCATCCATTGATTTACTGTGGATACCTTTACACCCCATTTGAAAAACATACCCTCACTTCATAGTAGTTAATCCTAAGGAACGGTGTTTATACCGCTTCGAGTAACGTGTAGTTACCGTGGTTTCAGGAAACTTAAGAGCCATTTTATTGACAATGATAATATTAATATTTCGTATACTGACTCACTACTCCACGTGTATGTTGCAGTGTTTAGTGATGACTGAGAGATATGCACTGTCTTTTCTGGTTATCTCTTGCACTGGTGCTTGAGTGCGTGTGTGTGTGTGTGTGTGTGTGTGTGTGTGTGTGTGTGTGTGTGTGTGTGTGTGTGTGTGTGTGTGTGTGTGTTGTGTGTGTGTGTGTGTGTGTGGTGTGTGTGTGTAGTGTGTGTGTGTGGTGTGTGAGTGTGTGTGTTGTGTGTGTGTGTGTGTGTGTGTGTGTGTGTGTGTGTGTGTGTGTGAGTGTGTGTGTGTGAGTGTGTGTGTGTGAGTGTGTGTGTGTGTGTGTGTGTGTGTGTGTGTGTGTGTGTGTGTGTGTGTGTGTGTTGTTTTAGTTTATATTTGTACATCAGTCTGACATAATCAGAAAGTATGTACTGCTACTTTAAACTCGCATAACCTGTTTTGATATTAACTTGCTTCCTAGCCTACTGATTAGAGGATTTAACTTTATTTGGAGACAACGGCAGTTCAACCAGTTAAGAGAGGGACCTGCTGGTTGCATTTGCTTTGATGAATGTAGGATTGAGAGCAATTCGAGATCGAAGAGAAAACTAGATCAATCGATCTTGAAAATAGATCAGTGTGAAGAGGTAACGTACATTCAAAGTTTTGCTAAGCGATTCTGATAGATGTAGTGACGCTATGTTGTACTTGAGTGTATCGTAGGGAATCTTATTTGTACAAAAATCAGATTCTCTTGTTAGTTATTATGCAGATTTAAAACAGCCTAGGAATACGTAAGCAACAACCTTCAGTAGGCGCGTTTAAAGAGTTGTTCTAGTAATCTGATTCCACATTGTTTTGCTGAGGAAGTTTTTATTGTGAATCGACCTGTGCGATGTTTTCAAAGAAACAATAAAATGGCCTTACATTATGGACCTGAAAAAATCAGAAGCAGTGTATATTATAAGATAAACGGAGGATGTAACGACGCTGACCATACCGAGATTTGTACTTATCTGTGTACACTGTACATTCACTGAGATTGTATGATTTAGGTTTTAAAGTATTATCGATGTTAGTAGACAGATGAATTGTGAACTGAATGATCCACGTCCAGGCGATTGCCCTTAAACTTATCAGCGTACTAGAAAGTAAAGACACTTATCTCTGGAACTGAGTATTTTAATGAATTATTTTATAGAGTAGTGTTAGGAAGCTGTCATATCCAAAGCCCTAGAATCATAATCCAGTGTCTAGCAGTGTCTTAGGTGCGATGTACCTGCAAAGTTACTCATCCTCTTTGAGAACAGTTGTCTAAGGTAGTGAAGACACGGCTGTCATTCAGTTATTTTTGGCTTATAAATTATTTACTATAGGAGCACTTAGGTTTTCCTTATCAAAACGTCATTAGTAACTCAAGATGAATATGAGAAGTTGAAGTACTGCAAAAGTGTCAGCACAATCGGCAGTAACAAAAACAGATGCGGCATTACCTCAGGATCAGCGGCAACTGAACAACAACAGCTGTTGCAGTACTGCAGCAAAATCAGCGCAGACAAGCAGCAGAAACAATAACAATTGCAGTATCACAGGATTAGCAGACACAGCAGCAGCAACAGTAGCTGTTGTAATACTTTAGAATGATCAATAAAGCCAGCAACGCCAGTAATATTAGTAGCAAAAAATGTTTTGTTATATCCAATGGGAATGAAACAGTAATATTTATATCTCTATATCTTGTTGTTCCACATCGTTCTTCCAAATAACAAGGCATTCGCCAGGAACTTGTAACAGTAAAGTAAAATTACCAAGACACCTTTCGCAGTGACCGCGCTATTAAAGGTGACTGTCCTCTAATTTAATCTATCATTATGCCCCATCAATGAGCATTATTCCTAAAATTCCTCCACTTCATCGGTTTCAATTTCCTGTCAGGGGATTCATTCTAACGCTAAAGCAATACTTTGAGGTTTGCTGTGTATCAGCAAGCATGCCCAAGGCGTGTTTTTTCTTGGTGGGGAGGGGCTGAGGGGGGGACGGGTTATCGAAGCTTTTACCAGTATCTGTTGTCCTTTTTTTTTTTTTAATCGGGTATGGTGGAGGCTTGATGAGACTTTTTCATGTTATGATCAATAAATATATTATAATTTATATTGCATTTGTGATTTTATTTTGTAAAAGGAATGCAGACGCTTGTCTGAGTAGCAGTATAATAAACAACAAGTGTTCAAGATCTAGCAGTCTCAAAATAAAGTATTCAAACATTGTGAGTGTTACCGCAATTCAGCTATCACAGAGAATAAAGAAACCATCCACTTTTTTTTTTTTATTCGCCGGTATTCTCCCGGCTCGGGTCCTTTTTTTTATTTTATTTTATTCGCCGGTAGCCGAACTTTACGGGTGTATCCATTTTTAAGAAAATATTGAAGTATTACATTCCTACAGATTGAATACGGCGACGCTGGTGGTGCTGCTGGTGCTGGTTGTGACGACTCTTCAAGGAGTTCGGGGGTTTTCTTTCGGGCAGCTCTTCCCAGCATCTAGACGTGGTGTACGGGGATCCCTCCTGGGAAGCGTCTTCGCTGACAAAACAACAAGTAATGCCCTGAAAGAGGCTCTGAAGCAGGCTGCCACGAAGGAAACAAAAATAGTGATGCCCTCCTCCACCACCACCACCACCACTACGACAACGACGCCGACGACACGTAAGGTAAAGATGGTAGGAAAGAGTTATCAGCCAAGGAAAGGGTTAGCAGTTTCTTGTGAGAAAGATGAGAGTCGTGTGTGTAAAGACGCGTGTGTGCTTTCCTGTCTAAATTTGTGTTAGAATTTACCACTCAATCTTTTTCTTAATTGCTTATTTAACGTCCATCTCTCTAATACTTATAACTGTGTGTGTACTCACCTGTTTGTACTCAGCTATTTTTGGTTGCAGCAGGGGTCGAATCATAAGTTCTGGCCCTGCCTCTTCACTGATTGCTACTAGCTCCTCTCTCCCTGCTCCATGAGCTTTATCGAACCTCATCTTAAAACAATGTATGTGTGTGTGTGTGTGTGTGTGTGTGTGTGTGTGTGTGTGTGTGTGTGTGTGTGTGTGTACTCACCTAATTGTGCTCACCTAATTGTGGTTGCAGGGGTCGAGACTCAGCTTCTGGCCCCGCCTCTTCACTGATCGCTACTAGGTCCTCTCCCTCTCTGTTTCCTGAGCTTTGTCATACCTCTTCTTAAAACTATGTATGGTTCCTGCCTCCACTACTTCACTTTCTAGGCTATTCCACTTCTTGACGACTCTATGACTGAAGAAATGCTTCCTAACGTCCCTGTGACTCGTCTGAGTCTTCAGCTTCCAATTGTGACCCCTTGTTTCTGTGTCCCCTCTCTGGAACATCCTGTCTCTGTCCACCTTGTCTATTCCCCGCAGTATCTTGTATGTCGTTATCATGTCTCCCCTGACCCTTCTGTCCTCCAGTGTCGTCAGTCCGATTTCCCTCAACCTTTCCTCGTACGACATTCCCCTGAGCTCTGGAACTAGCCTTGTTGCAAACCTTTGTACTTTCTCTAACTTCTTGACGTGCTTGACCAGGTGTAGGTTCCAGACTGGTGCTGCATACTCCAGTAT